CATGCGAATGATTGCTCCTTGCGATTTTTCGGGTGATGCTTTCCATGTATGCTCCGAGGGGATTACCAGGGACAGACTGCGAGGTTATAAATTCTGCCTTTGAAAGATTACAATTGAAAAACAGATCAGTTCCACATTTGTTCAGTGCAAGTAGCAAATTCCGTGAGCTTCTTATAAATAGACAAGGAACCGAAGCCGTGAAAAAGACTGTGAAGGAAATGCCATCGTACATCTACGCGAGCAGCTTCAAACTCTCCTTAGACGATCTACAGACGTGCAACGCGGTGGAACTTGATGAGGTTGTTCATGTTTTCCTCCTCTTCTTAACGGAATTCATAATCTTCCAGATTGCGTTTGTCACCTTTCCCTTCGTAGCTGCTGCTGCACTTTCGCCTCCGCCTCTCGCAGCTGGATCATTATTGGGATATTGGCTCTGTCTTCGACTTATCGCTGATTCACGTCATCTAAGCACGACCAACATTAGAATTGCACAGAAAATAGCAAGCATGACAAAACACATATGGGCATTTAAGGCTGCAGAGATTTTCACCATGAAATGCCATGTAAGTTACAAATAAAATAAAGCCTCGCTTTTGGAGAAGCTAAGCTCCTGGAGACACGCTCACCACCATCTCATTCTCAATCTTTTGGCTCTTCCTGACTGGTCTAACCCAAACGTAAGTACGTTATTACTCAGCGAACTACACCCCTACGAGGTGACGCGCACCCGTACGACCACGCTCAATTGTAAATTTAAAGCGTCCTCAATTTTCGGATCAGCACAAACAGCACCGTAAGTTTGAATATCGAATATTACAACAAAGGAAAAGAAAACATTTTTCAGGCCACCTACCCCGATAGCGGACAGAACTCTAGGAGTCCTTTATACTGATCAGCTTCCATAGAAGCGAAAACGGGCGTGCGACCTGGTGAGCCTTATTATAAGCAGTGTGATGTAATTGTTATCTAGCAAAGTTTTTAGGAAACACTCTAAATCGACCTGAGTTTGACTTTGAAGAGGACGTAGAAGTACCTGAAAGACCTGCCGCTTCGCTTTACGAATGCACGCACAATGGAAGTCTTGACATGCAGCGCAACTCATTCTGAAGCAAAGAAAAGAAGGAAACTTCAATCAGAATGTCTATGACATAAGTTACCTCAAATACAACTTGTGTAAGCAAAGTTAATTTAGAAATTCGTAAGAATGGATTGGCGTCGCGCATACAGTATTTTCGCAACGATGGAATGTTTAATCTCTCGGATACAACCCTAGAAATGCGTCTAGTAGGAATAAGCAGCTTCATGATGGTAACGATTTTCGACGTTAACATATATGGGTCTGGACGTGATGAATTTTTGTGTAGGGTGAGATACAATGCGCGATACTGGATCGCTATATGCGTTTGGTGGAAGTTTCGGAAAGAAAAGATGATTCTCCAAGCAAGCCACTAATGTCCGTCGAAAATTTCACTAGACAGTGGAGCATGGATGGGCCCGAACCTTTCGTGAAGGTAAATAATGCCCAAGATTTTGCCCATTTTAACCTCGTATGAAAACAAACCGGATTCAACTTGAGGTGGCTCTTCAAGACGTGGCGAGTGACTACCATCCAAAAGAATGAGCACCCCGTTCCAGATTTTTGCCGGCCTTTATCGTTTCT